GCAGTAACCCCTGGCATAGATATGCAGTAACCCCTGGCATAGATATGCAGTAACCCCTGGCATAGATATGCAGTAACTCATATTATGGATATAAAGTAACCCCTGGCATAACTCCTCGCATAGATATACAGTGACTCCTAGCATGGATATACAGTAACACCTGGCATAGATATACAGTAACTCCTCGCATAGATATACAGTAACTCCTCGCATAGATATACAGTAACTCCTCGCATAGATATACAGTGACTCCTAGCATGGATATACAGCCACTGATGCATTAAGCACCAGCAGTCAGCCTTAGCGAAACATCACACGGCGCGAGAACGGGGGGGGGGCTCTGACCGCGTCAATCTCGTTGAGGATCTTCCACTGCTCGTAGGGCACGCCCAGCTCCTCCGCCGTCTGGATGGTTCTCCTCAGTTGACTGGTCCAGACCTTGAGGTCCGGGAGACTTTGCTCCTCGATGAAACCCCGCAGAGCACGGGAGAACTATGGGGCGAAGGGAAGGATGAGGGCCGGTCAGCATTCTTGGAGAGGGAGGGGCGGCATGGGGGGGGTACCGTACCTGCCTCCCGCGCAGGGAGAGCGCGGAGTCGCCGCCAATGCGGCCCTGCACGTTGTGCTCACTCTCACCGTGCCGGCACAGGTAGATGGAGTGCGAGTGCACATGGATGTTCATGAGGTAGTAAACTATGCGGCTCTGGATGTAGTCCTGCACCTGGTTGACGAGGAAGCGCTGGCCCACATTGATCACCTTGATGAAGGACTTGTCCCTGATAGGGGGAGACACAGGGGTGCAGTATGTGAAACACCTGACAGCAATTCAGGCTGAATGGAGAGTGGAGCAGAACCTCAGCCCACATCAATCCTCCTCCACTGACCAGCACTCAGGTTGCTGCCACTTCCTCTCATTTTCATACCAGGACTTTCAGTTTACGGGACGATTTTCTCCATGTGATATTTTTCAGCCAAAGAATATGCTAAAAATGCTACAAACTGATTTTTCAGCATTACAGTTACAGTCACACATTGCATTGTGCAGCACTTTCCTCAGCACACTAAACACAGAGTAAAACCTAATTACATTACATTTTATTGAATAAAAATGTTCTTTGTTACATGTGTAACCTTTTTGTGTTGATCTCAAGATGTTTGGGGAAATTGCTTAATGTTTTTAGGTTTTCCTAATTAAAATAACAGAAAAACGTTTTTGGTTGATGTTTTTCATAAACTAATTAGTAATGTAAATCGACAGAAGGCTGTACAGTTGTGATAAAAAGTTATGAGAATGACACAAGTATTGGTTTTCACAAAGTTTGCTGCTTCAGTGATTGTAGATCTTTTGTTAGATGTTTCTATTGTTTACTGAAGTATAATTACAAGCATTTCAAAAGTGTCAAAGGTTTTTATTGTCAATTATATTAAGTTTATGCAAAGAGTCAATGTTTGCAGTGCTGGCCCTTCTTTTACAAGACCTCTGCAATTCGCCCTGGCCTGCTGTCAATCAGCCTCTTCAAATCCTGAATGAAGGCAGCTCATTCTCGCATAATCAATGCATGCTTGCAGATGCACTCACACCTGCATGCTGCCATTCCTGAGCAAGCTCTGCACTGGTGGTGCCCCGATCACACAGCGGAATGAACTTTAGGAGACGGTCCAGGTGCTTGCTGGACTTTCTTGGGCATCCTGAAGCCTTCTTCATAAAAATTGAACCTCTCTCCTTGAAGTTCTTGATGACCTGATAAATGGTTGATTTAGGTGCAATCTTACTAGCAGCGATACCCTTGCCTGTGAAGCCCTTTTTGTGCAAAGCAATGATGACTGCATGTGTTTCCTTGTAGGTAACCATGGCTACGTACAAAGCATCCATTCTGCTATTCTAACTCAATCAGCATGACAGAGTGATCTCCAGCCTTGTCCTCATCAACATTGTCACCTTTTGTGGCAGGGCTGAAATGCAGTGGAAATGGGTTTTTTGGCATTAAGTTCACTTTCAAGGACTTTGTAATTAATTGCAATTCATCTGATCACTCTTCATAACATTCTGGAATATATGCAAATTGCCGTCATAAAAACTGAGGCAGCAGACTTTGTGAAAATTAATATTTGTGTCATTCTCAAAACTTTTGGCCACGACTGTACTACATGGTCAGTTCTAAGGATGAACTGACCGGTGCTGTCATCGTACATCACTGGCTCCACCTAGTGTTCTATTCATTGTATTGCATCAAAATAATTCCTTATTAGGCCTCCTCCATCTTCCATGACCATCAATCTAGTACCGGGTCACAGTAATAATTAACTAATAAAAAGCATCCTAACAAAATGCAAGACTTTTGGCATCGATGTCCCTAATCCAAGACATCCCAGTCCGAATTAAAGCCCACTCAGGAAGGAACTCAAGGCCTTCCTCTTCCCATGCAATACACCCACATTTTTCCTTATTGCGTCCACAGATTTTCATGAAATTGAGGTTATTTAAATGGGGACCTGAAAAATGTCCCCAAAAGTAAAAATGTTTCAGGTTTTAATCATACTTCGGGGACATTTCGGTCCCCAAATGTAATCTATGCAAAATAGAGACACCAATTCATCTAAACATGTTTTTAGACTGTGTAACGAGTCCCGAGTGGACATGGAGACCCGCAGACTCGACAGACAGAGCAGAGCAGGAATCGAACCCTGCAGATGAAGCCAGAGCCTGTATGCAGCCAGCTGCATCAAAGATGTTAAGATAAGCAAACAGGTGATGCTTAAGGGGAATGATTTGCATATAAAAAAACATACCTATCATATTCATCTGGATCCAGAGCTTGGTAGGTGACCTTGTAGCATTCGATCCTCTTGAGGAAGTCATCCATAATTCGCTCCCTGTGTCTCTCTGGGTAATCTGGGCTGGACACCTTCACGTCCTGGAGAAAGAAAGAACCACCACAGCTAAAGTGACACGCTGACCTTTCATCTAAGAACCCAGAAGGCGGACGTCAGGTCAGGTCCCATGGAACTTACCAAGATATTGGCTGCAATCACCTCTGGGTCATTACACACTGACTCCACGAAAAACACCTGGAGAGAAACATCAGGAACATCACACATCATGGCCCTCGTGTCCACGTGCGACAGTCAGCCCTTGAACAAATCTTTCGGCAAAGTCCCCGGCTTTTGTATAAGTCACACAGAGTTTATAAAAAGCTGGCTTTAGAAACCAACAAAAAATTGATCACTAATTAAAGCAGACTAAAAAACTTTAACAGAGAGGATCAGCAATGAGTGTGTTTCTGTGAGCTTGGTAGAGGGATGGGTTTGGACAGGAGCTCACAAACGGGTCATGGGAACAAGAGAGAGAGAGACAGTGAGTCAGGCAGCCGTACGAGAGAGAGAGAGAGAGAGAGAGAGAGAGAGTGTGAGTCAGGCAGCCCCTATACCAAAAGCCGCAACAGAAAAGGTATTTATGACTATCACACATCAAAAAAAGGCTGTCCATTATGGTGCGCCCAGGAACACAATAGGCCTGACCAGGGTGCATCAAGTCCCCCATACAGCATGCCAACCTGTTAGAAAGGCAGTTTGACAGTATCTTATAGTCCAGGGTTATTCAATCACGGTCCTCGAGGTCCGATCACTGCTGGTTTTCCAGCCTTCCTTTACCTGTCAGTCAGGTGTGAAGCCTCTGACCAATCAGAATCAGCAATTATTAAACTAACTACTGTACCTGGGAGAACTGAAAACAAGGCCTGGATTTGGAATCGAGGTCCAGATTTGAAGAACCCTGTTATAGTCAGTGCACATCAAGGACAAGGGCCTCCAGTTTGACCACAATCCCAAATCACCCTTCTTCGGGCAATACGGCCCTCGTGCAGCTAGTCGGCAGCCGTCGGGCCCTCAGAGTACAGTTATAGATGTCATACAGATCTGGACCAAATAAGTCCCTGAAATGTTTGTAAAATCCTGCTTCCAGGCCATCGACGCCCGGCACCTTCCCAAGCCACAAACGTTGAACCGCCATCATCAGTTCCTAGAGCCGAAGCTGCCCATGGAGGGCTTCCCTCTGCACTGTCCTCAGACTGTCCAATCCCGTCAACAGCACCTCCATGCTGGACAGATCACACTCTTCTTCACCAAAAAGCGCCGTATACAATAGTCCACGGCCAGCCTCTGCATTTCCCCCGGTGCCGCAGTCATGGACCCATCTGGACGCTGAAGGTGTAACATGTGGGGCTTGTGTCTCGCCGTCTTGCCCAAACAGAAGAAGGAGCTCGCGGCATCCATGTCCCCAATCCGAGACATCCCAGTCCGAACTAAAGCCCACCCAGGAAGGAACTCAAGGCCTTCCTCTTCCCATGCAATACACCCACAGTGTCAACGGCAGCACCAGAAAGCAAGTCCCTCTCCTGCCTCTTCCTCCACCTCCCCCCAGAACCCTAACCCTACAAAAACACCCATCCAGCAGCAACCTAGTGTCAAAGCACCAGTAATACCTCGGTGTCAAGGTCTTTCACAAAAAAACCGACACCAAGTGGTAGTCAGAGAAGGCGCACGGAGTTATACATGCCGTCAGAACCTTATTCCGCCCAAAAATTAACACATAACTCCCATCTAGCTTAGCGGCACTAACCTGAACAGCCGACACTTTCACCCAAGTAAACTGTGCCCCCCCCTCGTGCTTCTCCCGCCACACATCCGTCAAGCCCCAATACTGCACCAACTAATGCAGAGCCACCCCAGGTGCCATGAGGCTCCTCCCCAGTCCTGTCCAACGTGAAATCAGTGGTGCAGTTCCAGTCACCTACAACCACACCGCTGTATGAGAGAGAGAGAGAGAGAGAGAGAGAGAGAGAGAGTGTGTGCCAGGGTGCCGTATAAGAGAGAGAAAGAGAGCGCCAGGGTGCCATATAAGAGAGAGAGAGAGAGAGCCAGGGTGCCGTATAAGAGAGAGAGAGAGCCAGGGTGCCGTATAAGAGAGAGAGAGAGAGAGAGAGAGAGAGAGAGCCAGGGTGCAGTATAAGAGAGAGAGAGAGAGAGAGCCAGGGTGCCGTATAAGAGAGAGCCAGGCTACCTTAAGCACACTCCCTATACTTTTCACTTGTTTTATCCAAAGCAACATTTTTTTTTTAGAAAACAGACAGTCCCTGAAGCAACTGGGGGTTAAGGGCTTAGTTTAGGGGCCCAACAGATTGCTGACCCTGGGAATGAAATCAGCAACTTACTGATCATAGGCACAATGTCCTAACCCACTGAGAGACACCCCAACCCACGTGTTCACATTTAGCGTGTTCTCTGTGCGTATTCACATTTAGCGTGTTCTCTGTGTGTGTTTACATTAAGCGTGTTCTCTGTGCATGTTTACATTAAGCGTGTTCTCTGTGCGTGTTTTCTATGTGTTACCTTAAGTGCATTTTCTATGCATGTCATCGCTATATGTGTTTACCTCATGCCTGTTCACCATAAGCATGTTCTCCATGCGCATCTACCTTAAGCATGCTTTCTATGTATGTTACCTTAAACGCATTCTCCTTTGCAAAATCCAGGATGAGGTCTCTTCTTTCCCTGGTGGTGTTAGTGGCATCAAACACCTGAAAGATGCCCAGCATCACCAGACTGACTGCTCCCCTCATTAAACCCCCAGAGAAACAAATCAAGAGTCCGGCATCTTCCACCACACAGACTTAAAGTTAGGGGTGGATAGTTCAAGTCCAGAAAGTAAAAAAAAAATCCAGTAAATATGAGTACATTCCACCAGACTTCAGAATCTTAATCTGAATGCTGAGACATTGGCACTAAAAGCCACTTAATCATAAGAAGGAATAAACAGGGTTACTTACAGCAATCTGACCTCCCTCCTCGCCCAGGTAAACCTTGACATCCTGCAGGGCCACCAAGGCACACTGTCTGTGGGAGTAAGGGTCCAAACAGCAGCTGAGGGACAATCTTACTTATGACCACAGTGTAGCACAAATGACAGGGTACTAGATAAGCACTGCAACCCCAGCGCAGCTGCAGTGTCACACAAAGGAAATATTTCAGTAAAAAGTGGGGGAATCTGTCCACACTGAACAGAACATCCAAGCGCTTAGTAATGACTGGGACCGGACCTGGGCGTACCCACAAACGATGCTGCCCATTCCCCTTCAGAGCCCTTCTTCTAGGACTCGGACAGGAATCCACCCGAATCAGCTTCCGTCCACACTGATTAGAAGCTCCCAGAGACGCAGTCGGGGTGGGGGGGGCAGCCCATTGTGTTATTTCCCCCCCAGACACCGAGTCAATGATTATGGCGTCACAGCACAGACCTAGAACTGGAGTTTCAGCATTTTTGCCAAACCTCTGCATCTGACACCACTAACCGGCCAGACGTGACGAAGCAGCACGCGCTGATGTAATCAAACTATAGGCAAAGTGGGGATGTTCTGTTTGGGCCCGACCTGAGACACGGACGCCGTCCAGACTGCACCCGAGCTTTCTGCGGTCGGGATCCGCCTGCTAGAGGCATCTGGTGCGTCTCTCTGTACAGACCCATTCGCCAAAGCACATCGTCAAGTCTCTGCAATAATTTCATGCTTCCAGCACATTCTCTGCATTCACCGGGAGCACAACCACCAACACCACCACTGGATGGCATGGGATTGGAAGTGTAATACGGTCATTTTATATTTACATTAACAAAGCAACTTTACTCCTCTGGGGTGGGAGAGAGGAGATTTGCTTTTCTGACGATTGATTCGCCCAACGTTGGGGAGTCACAGGTGATGTCACTCCTCCAATCATCACATTTCCCTCCAAAACAGCTGATTTGCTCTGGGTAAATAGGGTGGAGCAACACACAAAATGTCTCCTTCTTGTTTGTGCCGGACACAACAGCGTGTGGTTCTGTTAGGACCCTGTGCCAATGATCAGAAGGTCATCAGTTCAAATCCCGTGGTTGGCAGAGTGATGCTACTGTTGGGCCTTGGGGTAAGACCCTTAATCCCAGTTACTCCAGATTAATTCCCCATAGGCGTGAATACAGTATCACTATTCTATTCTAAATAAAAGGATAAAGCAATGTGCCTCAAAAATGCAACAGCAGTATCCCTTAAGTCAGGGGTGTCAAACTGCAGTCCTGGGGGGCCGGAGCCCTGTGTAGCTTAGTTTTTTCCCTGTTCCACCATAAATGATTCAGCTCAAGAACTGTGTGGTAATTAGCACAAGGAGTTGATTCAGGTGTGTTAAATGAGGGGAAACCCAAAAATGTGCAGGGCTCCGGCCCCCCAGGACTGGAGTTTGACACCTCTGCCTTAAAAAGGCTTGTGTTTTATTATACTTATTTCTCTCTGTGCTGTTTGTTTTTCACCATGTAATCGCATACTCCTGCTATAAGCACTTTTATGTCCCTTTGGGGATTAATAAAGTTCATCCAACCATACATGCACCTAACTAGCAAGCTAGTTACATATCCCGGCTGCTACTGGCATTGTGCATGTCGCCGTGGATACGCTTGCCACACTGGACAGGAAGTGTTTCTGGCCTCAGCTCGCTGGGGCCATACCGAATCCTCACACTCACTTGCGAATCTTCATGGCTTCCTCGTTGTCATGCCTGAAGAAATCATAGGACTTGTAGGACTTGACAGCCTCGCGCCGATACTGGCCCAGGTTAAACACTGCGGGGTTACAAACAGGACGGGCTGAAGCCTTCGGTTACGCATCATTTCCTTGCATGCCATCCTGATGACATCATCACGCCGGACAGGTTCCACTGCTGCTCACGTCAACACAGTGCTGTCCCGGAGTAACCTGTACACCTTCAGATTGGTTACCCAAGACAGTCAGTGAGCCAATCAGAATGACACACACGTTTCACTCACTAGCACGTTGGACCAAATATGCATCTTTCATTTTAATATGACATGTAAATGTCCTGCCTCTCTTTGGCCTACATTATACCTGGTTTTGAAATGCGTCTGGTTTTAAAGTGTGCATCCTTGTCGGGGACACCTCAGGACGCATTAGTGTTTACACCACAAAAGATGTCGAGTCCCAGGCCACCCCGACATTTGGTTTGAGTGATCGGATCACAATACGTCCTCGTGGTCGTTTAGTGCCGTCTACTTGCGATCTGATCACCCCAGACGCATTTTAAAACCAAGTGTAAACAGGGTCTGTGTTGTTCAAAGGGACTCGGTGGGGTATTGGGTCAGGGCCCATCGGGACCTGTGACGAGTGCACTCCACCCCCTCACCTTTGGTGGGCACGCCGATCCAGTTGAGGTAGCGAGTGAGCTTCTTGGACATGTAGGTCTTGCCGCGGGCCGGCAGGCCGATCATCACGATCAAGGTGGGCGAGTTGGTCATGTGGGAGGCCCATGCTACACACACACACACACACACACACACACGATAGAGGATTCAATTCAACTCATTTTCATATAGCGCCTTTCGCTCCAAGGAGCATTACATGGGTCATTAAGATAGAGTAGTACAAAATAGGGAAAAGAAAAGACAAAAAAAATGAAATGAAGAAAGACAGATGATGCTTTACCAAAAACTCCCAAGTAAGGAGAAAAAAAAACCTCTGCGGCTCCAAGGTCAACTGGCTGCCAGAGGCTTCTACTGCCGGGAGTTTGCTTTTACCCTGGTGCCACGGAGATAATTCAAAATGTCTGTTTCTCTGATGTTACTTAAGTGGCTGCCTGCATCTGTGTCTGAGTCTTATACTTTGTATCTGTGACACAGATAAATGACCCAGCAGAGCTACACCTACAAATAGCCACTTAAATCGCTCTATAACATGGTTTTAAGTGCTAAATTTCCTCTCATTTCCGCTGTATTTGCCCATTTATCTGTTAATTACCAGATTCCAGCAGGTAACCCTCTCGCTCTGCCTCCAATTTCAGGTGGTGCAGAGGCAACCATGAAGCCTGCCTAGACATCTCCACCCTTCAGCTGCACCTATATGTGCGATGCTGGCTAATGGGGAATGGACCAGGTTCTGGGTGATTCATGCTTCTGCACCCTCCCAGCCCCGGAGATCCATATTTTTGTGGATCTCAATCCTTTGAAACACCATCTCACAAAGTCACCTATGCACAGCAATCCCTGAAACCTGAAGACCACATCAAACCTGACGTCTGGTGTCTGGCTCATCAGCTCCCAAATGCATATTAATCTGACAGATCAGGGAGATGCCGTTGAACCATCACATCTATTTTGAATTCAAATGCATCTGCAGACGACCAGTCAGGCAAAAATTCTCTTAAGGTCCCTTTAATGTTAAGAGTGATCTGGTTCCATAAAGACAGGAAGGTCTGTCCACAGTCCTCCGTAGAACACAACCTCTATATGGATGCACACCTCAGAAAACCGTCCAAGCATGCTGGAGTAGAAAAACTCAGCCCACCAGCGAGAGGCAAGACACGGCACGCTGTTTACATACCGACCACGGTCCCAAAGGCAGGCACACGTGTGTCTGTGGTGGGTCTGACACTTACAGCCTGTCTTCTCCTTCACTCTGGGCTCCATTTTCTTGCTTTCTGCTGAGCTGATCAGCTCAGCACCTCTGTGCAGTGCGGTGGCCATGACACATATATACCGGGTCTCCCTATTCTCCGCCGGAGTCCATCAGAGGGGGGGTGAGTCCTAGGTGGACGGGGCATCCATCTCTCTAATAAGAAGAGATCAGTATCACTAACAGATTTTGATACAGATCAAAAATTCATATACAGTCTCCATGCCTCAGTTTAACTACAACTGAGAAGTGTTTAAACTTAAACTTTGCCGAATCAGTTAGTCGCACAAAGACAAAGTTTTGTTTATAACACACTTTTCGAACACAGATCTTAACTTGAAATGCAGCGACCAATGTGTTATTAAATCTGATTAGGACAGAAGACATGATCGACTGTTACTGTCACCAGGGCTGCCAACTATCACGCATCTAGCGTGACACACACAAGCCTTCTGTTTCTCACGCTCACGCAAGAAATCGCACGACATATCAATATTATTCCATCACAAACCTAAAATTAGCTACACCAAAAACGCTGGGGTAGAACCCTACAGATTATTTACAGGATGATAAAATTGTTGCATACATGTAAATACGTGTACAGACTTGTCTCGGATTGAAAATCTATCGCCAGCCAGCTGCTCAAAGTTGGCAAGCTTGAATGTCACTAACAGACACTCAGAGGAAGTGGGGGAAATTTCGTACGGTAAAGTAAGAAATGCGGAAAAAGTGCATCGAAAGTGCAACGAGACTATAAAGTGCGCTCTAGTCGGGGTATTATCCGAAAAGCAGACGGGTCCGGCAGGTATTGATGCATGTAAGCAAGATTTAAATACACTTACATGTGCAGGTTTCTTTCTTACAGTCGGTGAACTGATTACTGCAGGCAAAATTATCCGCGATCAATGTATATAAAACGGCATTGAAACAGCACTAACCCACGACTCACCTGATCCACACCCGCCGGGCACCTGATTCACACACCGGAATAGTCGGTATGCGCTCCCAGCCCACAGTCCCTCCTAATGAATTCGCTCTTCGGTATGTTCCCTCCCTCGGCCGCCGCCTCCTCGACGCCTCGGATGCCCTGAACTGCTCTAAACCAGAAGCGGAACTCCCATTACTCCGGTCCGCCTCTCCCCGTGGCCCTTAAATCTACACGGTGCAGGTAATGCAGCTGCTGCCGGAGCGGGGCAGGTCGGGGGCGTCGGTTGCCGGCCGGCGGCCAATAGGACGCAGCCGCCGTGTGCGAGCCGAGGAGCCGGCAGACGCAGCCTCAGTACCCCGCCTAATGCAGCCCTTTTAACCAGTGAAACAAATAACATGCGTCTGTAACAGAACACTTACTTATACATCAGAATTTTAAAGGAATGATAAAGCATATTTTAAGAAATCTGAAATAAATCATTTAATTTAAACAGGTCTATGCTTTAAAATGTAAGTTATTCAGTCACAGTGCATGCGGTTACTACTCCCCATATTCGTAAGGACTTCCTCATACCCCAAAAAACACATTTGTGAAAGAATCGGTGAATGTCTTCTCTGTGATGGACTGGCATCCAGTGCAGTGTGTTTTCCCTTGCTGCGGACAGGCTCCAATCTCCATCATTTACTCAAATAGACTTGTGTCATTATAAAATATGCCTCTTCCCTAAAACCACAGAAAGATTAAGACAGTTCAGAAAGATTAAGACAATTGCTTCCCATAGAATATACTTTCACATAAAGTCGCTATAGCTGGTGGGGTTGAAGCACTGGCATTTCAAACAGAAAAATATGTAATTTATAAGTAAATTCCTGTTGGCTCTGCCACAATAGAGAAGGACATGGACTACCAGGAAGGACAAACCACTGCAGACATTTTATCGCACAGAGAAATCAAACAGAGTGATTTACCTGCTTAGTTGAAGGACAGAATTTGCTGTGTCACTGCTTTTCAAACCACTGTATTTACACTAAATGATTAAAGTGATTACTTAAACACACCACCTAACTCCTCATTGGTACTGTATAGTAGTTAGTATCCCCATCGGTTATGTGGGGGTGATCAGAAGGTTGCTGGTTCAAATCCCATTCACAGCGTATCCCTATGCTTGGACAGGGCCCTTAACCCCCACCCTAAACATGCTCTAGGGGTGCCCCCATCTCTGACTGCAGTCCACTTGTCCTGTCTGTGATCCTCTGATAAATAAAATATACAATTATAATGAGATATAAATAGATTAACACTGCATGTACTGTAACACTGTAAATCATTAATGCACCAGGATAAGTGATTGGAAGCTAAATGATTACTATATGATATTGTACATATATTCATAACAGCATGCTATTAGGAACATGAGTAACTGCAGTAGATGGAAAATGAAATTTACATTCATAAGGCAAGAGAGTATTTTAATTAAGCTTCTAAAAGCCAGTATATCGCCTATCAATGCCATGATCTTAAAGAATACAATTATATTCCATAAATCCATGTTTATTTGTGGAATGCACAGTAGTGCAGCATACAGCAGTAGATACAGCCAATGAAATTAGTTATATAAAATGAAAAAGCATTATATTGTGTATATATCCATGCATCTTTCCACCAATTCCTGGACAATGTTGCAGGGATGCGGGGGGAACTGGGGCCTAGCACAAGGCGCAAGCCAGGGGAAGACCCTGGACGGCATGCCAACCACATATACACGACATACATACAGAGAAAAACTAAGAACCGATCACCTCCTGTACGTTTTGCCATCTTATTACAGGTCTCGCGTTAACCAGCTAGTACTAAATATATCATCTCTCCAATCAGTGGCTTCCTTATTGCGATGTCAGTGTCGCTTTTAATGCGATTGGTCGAGTCTGTCGGCGGCGTTTGATTCTTTCAAGATGGCCGAGGTTGTAGAACTCCATAAGCTGAAGGTAATGCAATTCAAATAATATAAACACGCAAACCTTAACTAGACGTGAAATGTGCGGTTGAATTTAAGCGCTGGTGTAGTGTTTTTGTTTGGTACTTGACGACTGATTTTTGATTCGGAATATCTAAAGAGGGGAAGTTTAGCATAGCTAGCTAGCTTACTTGAATACTGGGTTAGCTTGTACATTAGCTGGTTAAACTGGATATGCGAGTCGGTTAATCGGGGATGTTATATGAAAAGGAACTGTTTATCTTACGAAGAAATAACCGGACATTTCGGGAAGTGCATGTCGTAATTGGGTTTTTAGTGTGGTGTTTCATTACTTAATAACGTAAATTGGCAAGGCATGGGATCGTACTTTTAATTCGACTGATAGCGATTATTTGGAGTTTACTGGGAACCGAGATTCTGCTGCTGCTCCTCTGCGCGAAACTTTTTGATCCTCCGAATTGTACCTTGAAATACAGAGTACGGTTAATTACTTCTTCCAGCTGGTTACCTTTGTCGTTGTGTTTGGTTGCAGCTGGCCGAGCTAAAGCAGGAATGTGCTGCCCGTGGTCTGGAAATGAAGGGAAACAAGGGGGACCTGATTGCCAGGTTACAGGCTTATCTGGAGGAGCATGGTACGACAGCGTTTAACAAGCATTACTTGTAAATCTGAAAATGACCTCTTTACACACCTGCCTTGCTCGCCATCACATTGCAGCCAGTCTGTAAGAATAAATGAATCTCTTAAAAGCCCTGGGTCTTTGTGTTGGTATATTCATTGATCAACAGTGAAGACTAAGCGACACTTTTGTTTGAGAGCGAACTAAAAATGGTTTTGCGTTTGCCAGGAGATGAGGAGGTGAATGAGGAAGAGGTGCTTGCAGAAGAGCCTGAGGTAATCATTTTATTCATCTGGGATGGTTTTTATGCTGTATATGGTTATCTCCTCTGGGGATGAGGGCTCACTGCACATATGAAAGATGAATGGTGGTTTTCTCCTGTCACTAACATGGGAAACAGGAAATATTTACAGGGAGCTTAGACATGGCCTTTAGGTTATTAACATTCATTTTAAGAGCACTGACTGGAGACAAATCTGGAAATTACAGGAGTTGCCAAAAGTGGAAGAGCCTGTTGTTCCGAAACAACCAGTAGAATCCCCAGCACCCGAACCTGCACCGTGAGTCCTTACCCTCTCCGCCTCCCCATGTCTAAATAGCCACCGCTTTCTGGTCTTTTCTCACATGTGTGCCCGCCCCTAGGATGAGTCCCAGGTTACTCACAAAGCTGCTCACTTCTGTTTGAAGCAAGTTGGATTTAGTCTGTAATTCATTAAGTGCTGAATACATTTGGTTGTAAGATGCTTTTTGAGGAGATTACTAAGGGCTGAATATGCTTACCAGCCATGCTGGGGATTAACCATAACCATACTGCATAGTGTAGGCTATGCTCTATGCTGAGGGTACTGTGTGGCCGGCTGCTTTCCCACCGCAACCCCCCCCCCCCCCCCAGAGCCCCCTCTTCACAGTGTGCTCATTTTCTCATCTGTTGTTTTTTTTTTTAACTTTTTTTTTGTGAAATGTCTTTAAAAAATTGTAGCGAGTTCAAGAAATAATGTCGACCTAAGAATAACTTTTATGGTTTCTGTGTCAGGGTGCCTGAGAAGAAGCTGGTCAAAATCACCCCACCGAGCTCTCTCAATGAGGTGTGTGTCCCCTGTTCAGCGGCCAGTTCTCCGACAGACATGTGTACTCGATTGTGCATGATGTTGATAATGTTCCTCCGTGGGTTACCCTCCCTCTCTTGTCTTTACTAGCGGTTGCAGAAGAGAGCTGAGCGTTTCAATATGCCCGCATCTACTGATGCTAAGAAGGTGATCCGTGCTGCCAGGTAAGGATGTGACCGTGGCGACAGAGTGCTCCTCGTCTCCAGGCGACACTCCAATGCCTGGTCTGTGAAGTGGGCCCATTTTCTGAACTGCACCTGCCATTTTCTCTTCCAGATTTGGCTTACCGGTTTCTGAGTCCATTTCCACACAGGGTAAGCCCTGCCTATCACGTGTACACATTCACAGCATTACTGCAGTTTTGTGAGAGCTTAATTTGATGCCTTTTTCCTTTAAATCAGGTTCTTCTGCAAGCAGCAAACCAGGGGTGAGTATATATGTAAAGGTTTGCCGAGCATTGATGTATAGGGCAAAGTTGCACTTGCATAATTTTTTACGTGGATTACTCAAAGGTACGGTACGTAAACTTGATTTTCCGACTTTTCTCAAGGTCAGTGTGGAAATCTTGAAGAAGAGAGCTCAAAGGTTTGGCATGAACGTGTCGTCCGTTTCCAAGAAGGTGAGTGGACCATGCTGGCCTTCTGTCTGAAATATTTCAGCAGACAAAAACTTATGTACAGCCAGGAAGCCCCATCAAACTAATCTGTGAGATGTGTGTGTTCATGTTTCATTCATTCAAGGTTGAAGAAGATGAGAAGCTGAAGAAGAGGAAGGAACGATTCGGAATTCTCACCGGAGCTGCTGCCGTTGGAGACGACGCAGAGGTACCAAAGTTGCCCAGATTCATCTAATGAATCTAATTCCTTGCAAACATCAATGGACTGGGTGTGAAAAGAGTGCGGTCTTGCCAGTGTGGCTCTTTCTTATCCGAGCGAGTGTTCAGTGTTTACTGTGTTCATCAGAACACTCATGATAATGAAACTTGAAAGCTTTTTCCTTCGAAAGCACCTGACGGTCTGAGGATGTTTGTTTTTACATTGCAGGCAAAGAAGAGGAAGCGAGCGGAGCGCTTTGGGAATGTGTAGAGCTGCGCCAGCTTTTCTTTTTTTTTTTTTTACACCCTTCGGCTTTGTTCTTAATGCTTTTGCTTTTGTATTTTAAACACATTCTCATGGAAGAACAATCCAGGGAGGCTCAAAGAACAGAGTTTTACAGTGAACCACATGTCACAATTTGTAAATTAAAGGAAGGTTTTCATAAATTGTGTATGTTGCTTTTCTTAGCTTCTCTTGGATGTAGTCACCTCGAATAAAAATATTTTAGGAGTATTTGGCACGTTGAATTGTGATCAGTGAAACTGAAGCTGATATTCCAGCATTCAGCTCAGAGTTTTCAGATGGCATGCAGATCTGTTCAAGGTGGAGGTGCATGAGATCACCACCTCTGAGGCCATCACGCTTTTCATCTTAAACAATGGGGTGCAAGATTTCCTTTTATGGGCGTTACAGAAACGTATAAGAATTGCGATTTTCTGTTATTTGTGAGTTCTCTTCTTTGGAACAGGGATACTCTGTCTCTTTCCTGTTGCTAATTTAATAATTATAAACAAATTTTATCTTACTCAAGTCATTTCAGGTAAATCTTCATACCTGGTGCCGAACAGATTTTAGAGAAATAGAAGCCAGTACACGTTTTTTTTAATTCCACATTGTCCCTGGAACTAAAATTTCCTGCAAGGTCTTCACCTGCTCACATGTCTCTGTTCATATAGTGTTCCATTTCCAATAAACATGAAAAAGAGAATAAGCATTTCAAAGGGAAAAAGTTTGTTTTACTGGAAAAATGTCCTTTTGCATAAGTATTATTATACTATAATTACTGTTGTTATTGCTACATGTACAATGTGCATACGCATTGTTTTACGTATAAGCAGTGAAACAAGAGTTAAGTATGTGTACGAACATAGTGAAACAAAATCCTAAATGAATATAATATATAAGCAGTATGAAACAAGAGTTAAATCCACATTCAGTCGCTCTCTCTCAGCCAGGAGAGCTACAGCGCCATTTAAGGTCAGGTCATTCACCAAAACAACAAGTGCAGTTTTCCTTATCTCGTAAATTGAAACCGTTTGTTTGTCCCATCACACAACACAAATGAGATAACGACTGCAATCCCAGCATGCTCTCCTTCCTATTGATGTTATAATTTACATGTTAAATAACCTACAAAGAATTTGCAGTACTAGACAAAAGTCTGGAAACACCTGCTTTTAATGCATTTGTCTCTATTTTAGCTTTGTGATTCAACTTATAGTAAAAGTCCTTGAGGCAATAAAATAAGACATATCCGATACTGCTACAACCAGGAGTCGTCTTCCACATCTCAAGGTTTTCTCAAACTTTAGACACTTCAAAATAGCCCTTTTGTTTCAATGCCAGCATTGCAGACTCTTGGCATTCCCTCAATCAGCTACCAGATGCAGCCACATGGAATGCTTCTCCAAAAGTCCTGAAGGAGGTAGCTACCTTGCTCTTATTCTTCGCTCCAACTTTCCCCAAACCAGCTCTATAGGGCTTAGGTCATTTGTCTCATCACTCTCTCTCTCCTTGTTCACAATTTAATATTTATTACATAATGTTGAGGTGTGCTGAGGGTCGTCATCTTGTTGGAAAGCAAATGACTTTCAGTAGGTGTGTCCTGACTTTTAACTGGCACTGCATAACAGCCAAACACACTTGTGGCATTCTTTCTGCAATGAAAATCAAATATTGATCAGAAACTTCTTCCCCAGCACATAAATGTGTTACAGTTGTAGGCCGCGTTTGTTTCACCGACCTGCCAGATGGAGTTTAAGTCTGAAGACATAATTTGAAATCTACTGTTTTGTTATTTTTCTATAAGATAATTCCGACATAGCCTGGGGGTCATTTGGATCACTTTGTTGATGAAGGATCAACCCCTGACCAATTAAGCATAGACCAGAGGCCATTGCATGGTGCTGCACAATGAAGTGGTAGCCCTTCTGATTCAGGGTGCCAGGCATTCTGTGCATCAGAAACCACAACACCTCTTTCCAACAAGCCACTCCCCACACCTAGCCACAACACATTAGGAAGCATCGTATCTTGTTACCGTAAAAGTCAGATCCTTTTTGTTCTAATTGCGCATAATTTATTAGCACAGAATTGCTGTTGACTCTCAGAAACTTGTCTTCTGATTCTGTTTGGGTCTGTCAGGCCTCTTCCCCTCAGGCTCCTCCAATGTCCAATGGTATTTTGGTGGTGTAGGAAATGCACTGTGATGTGGTGTAGATTTGGATTTTCTAAAGTCTATTATTAAAAATTATATTGGAAATTCAGTATACAATGAGCCTTGTGCGGAAACTGAAATACTCAATCCTACCCCAGAAACCTAGTCTAGTGGAACAGAACCATCACAGAGAGAATGCTCACGTTAAATAGTACACTGGTATAATTTGCAATTTGCCCTGGTACAACTGGGGCAAGGACTCGAGTAGGAAAATGTACTGTCGGTGAGCTTCAGTTAAAAAACCTCTACCCAGGAAGATCTCCCTAAATCTGAGCCACCCAGAACCCTCTTCCCCAGGGCTGCCCGTCTCCTCTTTTTACCTGTACTTGTCATCTTTGTTTTCTTTAAGCACTCTCTACATGTGTATATGCAAAGACGTATCTTCACTGCTTGCAGTGTATTATATAGGATTACCTCGACACCATACATCGCAAATGCAAATTAAGTTTATTTCCGGAATAGTAAAATAACTTGTACGGATGGATAAACTTGTCAAATTTGCAAGGTATATACTATTTATAGTTATTTATCGGTGAATTCTTCAAACGTACTGCCAAAATTAAAAGCGACAAACAGATAACATATATTGTATAATAATGTATGCGCAAGTTCATTATATTAGCATGCAAAGCCTGACTGACCGTACCCTATAATGACCGGCGGCGGAAGCTGCGCGAAGTCGGAAGATCGCGTCAATGCCGCGCGGCCGCTGACGCAAGTTCCTCTGACGCACTGGGTTTTTAAAATATTATTGTCCTCCTCAGTAATGGCGGCTTCGTTTCCTTCTCCTTCTGTAACAAACAACAAATGGTATTTTACAAGGGAAGAAATCGAGAATAGCCCGTCTCGTCGTGCGGGACTTGATCCCGACAAAGAACTGTCTTATAGACAGCAAGCCGCAAACCTATTACAGGACATGGGACAACGGCTCAATGTGTATCTTTTTGCCGGAGGAGCGGGGTATAACGTGCACTTCACGGTTTTGCGGCTGCTGTGGCGGCTCGAACAGCCGCGACTCCATCGGTCGTTTTGATTTTATTCTCATTTTAAGCTAGTCTCTGTCCTCGGCGAGCGGCAAAAGTGAATGACGGGGAAACGCGACCGAGACGCATGCGATTCTCGCCTGGCAGGCGAAGCGCGCGCAAGCCGCGCGGCTCAGCGGTCTCCAAGAGCGGCCCGGGCTCGTTGCTAAGGATCGGGGTTTATGGGATGTGTAGGCCTCATCTGCGGCCTGCGGGGTTACCGGGAAACAAAAGCCGGGCGGCTCGTCAGCGAAGGGACGGTCTCGTAAAAGACCGATTAACGCAAAAATATGGCGTTTATATCGCCGTGAGGGCCCTCGCAGCGCCACCTTTAAGGTTGTCTTATGGCGTTTTTCGAAAAAAGCGTTTCTCTGTGGTGGCACTCCGACCTGCTGAGAAACTGAAAGTAGACTAGCCGGCTCCGTGGCTCGCTAGCTGCTAAAGAAACCCACAAAAGAAAACCTTTAACAGATATGAGGATACCAAACCATACTGTTACTGCTTGCTTAATTGCATTTTATTTGGTAATTTGACGTTGCCGAGCCCCATGTCTTCCATATAAGCGACAATATATACGTTTGTGTTTGGGTTACGCGAAAACCGTCGACTAAGTATGAAACCTTGGAGAAGCAAGGTGTGCACAATATGAAGGCTCATATTTAACAGTTTTGATGCTATCCTGTTGTCTGCATCGACCGGTGCACCGAGACCGCAGCCAAAGCGGCCCAGGGTTACACAGCTACCGGCCGGCTGGCTTTCCCTACAGTCCCTTTGATTGATTTTTACAAGAAAGTGCAAGTAAAAGGGAAACCAGCACACGTGATCTTTGGGGTCCCGGAATATTAAAGTATTAACAATTGAAGAATGCATGTCGAGTGCAATGCAGTGTGCTTTAAAAGTAACTAAAAGCCGTCAGTGAGTCCATATCCATGGCCAGGATAATGTTTTAAAAGCACCGGTTAAGGAAAAATAAAAATAATGTACACATTTCATGAATAGGAATGAAGCTGTCACTACAGCTGATGAATTTCTGTTTTGATTCTGCTGATCCCAGGACCAAAGTTGTAGGGGAAGATGTTTGATAAATGAGCTTAATAAAGGCATGACTGGGTGGTAATGAAATTACAGCTGATAAGTCCCTTGAATACAGTATGGGGATAGATCGGTGTAGGCCGGACCTTAATGATATCGGAGGCTGTCGTTAGGGGTGTCTACGGTGTGATGATTCGTCGGAGTCCCTTTTACTTGGGCTGCTGTGTCGTTCCTTAACCACCACTCTACAGCTCCCAGCTGACTATCAACACTGCCATTGTGTATATGCACCGCTTCTACATGATCCAGTCCTTCACCCGCTTCCACAGAAACGTGAGTACCCCACTCACCTGGCACACGTTCCCTTCATTTTTTTATCCTTATGTTAATTTATTTTACCCACAGCAGAAATACTTGTCATTGTATTGCTGTCCCCTGCTACTTGCTCTTTTCTTTCTCCTTTTATATGTATATATATATAATTAGGGGTGCAGTATTACACTAAATTCACAGTTCAAACTTCAGTTTCGAGTTAAGGGTTTGGTGGTGCAATTTAAGTACAGCAAGGAAATTAAAAGTTTGTTTTGAAATTATGCATTATTAAAACAACAAACAATTAGGATCAGATATAAACTGAAAGGTGACATGTCTGTTGACATATCTGAATATAAAAAAAAACCTGAGATGCTTATTTGCGTGTTGTACAAATATATACGTAAAATAAAAAATGTGACGACATATGAACTGAATCCCACATTAGTCCCGTTTTCTACTACATAGTATGGTTGCATATATGTGTATGTAAACTGTTGATTATGACTCATGTTAACCAGCATTAGCCATAACCAGCTCAGCCACAAACAGATTGTCTTCCGTGTCGAATATCTACTTGTGAATTTAGTGCCCGTGTCAGTAACTCTTCATTCGTTTCATTGAGTGTACCAAACTGAACGCTACATGACAAATATGTGAACAATTACAGAGCTAGTATATGTAATCTGAATGCTGTGAATAATATAAAAAGCAAATGCGATGCCCTAGTTCAACTGTATCATGCAAGTCTGTTCATTGCTGGGTGTGGGAATGAATATTCGTGTCTTGGATGAATTTGCAGTGGTGAAGTGTAACTGAATCCGAATAACAGGTTCACTCTGAAAAGTTGTCTTAATTACTTTGCGTCTTGGTAATTGTAATAGCCAGACGTTCTTGATTCGTTTTGGGTGTTTACAAGCTGCGCTTTGCATTCGAGCTGGACCCCTTCTTACCTCCTTCAACACTGTCCTCAGGTGATAGCTCCAGCGGCCTTGTTCCTGGCTGCGAAGGTAGAGGAGCAGCCTCGCAAACTGGAGCATGTGATCAAGGTGGCCCATGCTTGCCTGCACCCTCAGGACCCTTCGCCAGATACTCGGAGTGATGTAAGTACTCTGGGCCAGAGCTGTTCGCTGCAGCTACTTTCAGTCCTGGCTTGAGCCATGTTGGTAAATCCTAGATTTTTTCCCCCCCAGATTTAGCATGTTTGTCTCCTATAAATACACATTTGTAAACATACTGGCCTAAATATTTAATTTCAGATAGGTGGAAATTGACATTTTATTATTGTTTATCAGTACTAGGCTGGTAAATTTAGTAAAGATCTGTTTGACATAAAAACAACGGCAGCAAAATTTAACAACCTGTGGTTTTCAATTTCATGATTTTTCTGTTTCATTGCTAAATGCTTGCCACAATATGTAAAGCCTAATAGTACTGTATGCAGTAGAATTTGCAATGATACCCCTAATTATAAAACTTTGTAATGTTTTAATTACATTTCCAGTTGCATTGTCAAAATCACTTATTGGGTTAAAAAATAAAAAGCATATTAGTCTTTAATGGAATATTTAATTTCATGCAAATTATTGTACAATAAACTTTGGAAAATAAAAAAATCAGCTGTGAATTCCTCCACATTGGTCCTGCGTTCAGTCTTTTTTTTTCCCCCTCAGCATTAACATAAAAATTTTAAAACATTAAATGCACGCCTTTGTGCCCCTGCCAGTCTCTTCTGAATAAAGAGACCTTCATTAAGGCTTTAAATGTGTCTAGTTGATTTTAGCTGGGTTTTGCATGTTAAACTCAAATTAAAGATGGTTTCCAGGTGTCCGTTTATAGCTGCTTTCCGACACTGCTTGGCCCGTAATGTTGTCCTGTTTCCATGGCCTCGGTTTCCAGGAGCTGGCTGTGACGTCATGGGGCTCCTTGTCCTTTAGGCCTTTCCTGGGGGTGCTCAGCAGGTGTCACTGCTGGTCTTCAGCTGAAAGTAAAAATAGCTCGTTGGAATGTTTCCCAGGGCTCTTCTTGTGCTTGGTGTCAGGGAAGGGTTTATAGTGGAGGAGTGGTAAGGTGATGAGCCATGGCCCCAGAGCAAAGACAGGGGCGGCCATCTGGGGGAAATATTCCTGTAGGGGGAGTTTCTGCCTCATTCCTCCGTAAGTAACCTGCCTGTCCTCTCGACCTCAGGCTTACCTGCAGCAGGCCCAGGACCTGGTCATTCTGGAGAGCATTATCCTCCAGACCCTGGGTAAGTCGGAGGACCCGGGAGGTGTGAGTGTGAGGTAGTAGCATGCTGGTGTCCCTCTTCGCTCAGCTGATGTTTGCTGAAGAAAGAAACGACGTGAGAAACTCACACAGCAAGCTGGTTTTTGTGCTCGTAAATACAGAGAGGAGTGGCAAATAAGCTCTGAGCGTGTCCTGCTGGGTGCTGTGGTTTATGGAGCAGGGCGGCTCTCCTGAGGTCTCCTCAGCTTTCCCCGTGTGTCCCTGTGAGGAGATGCCCGTCGCCTGCTCCTCAGTGAGGAGAGCGTCATGCTTTCACGAGGCTCCTACTGAGTAGCTCTTGGTGTGGCCTGCCATGTGTAGGGCATCTGACTGAAATCTTTCTGTTGTGTAGGACATGGCCTAAACAGGTGTCTTTCTCTCTCCTCCTCTCGCGCTCTCTTCCTCCTCCCATGGATCGCAGCGTTCGAAATCACCATTGACCACCCGCACACACACGTTGTGAAGTGCACTCAGCTTGTCAGAGGTGAGTGTCTCCATCTCACACATACATTGGTTACTGCCTCTAACGCATCTTAGGCAGAACTACCAGCAGCCACCTTGCCGTCTATTCTTAAGGTGTCTGGACCGGCGAGGGGGCAAGGCACCATTGTTCAGTGTTGCTTGCAGTAGACTGTCTCGGTCCGTGCTCCAGAATTCCCAGTAAGTTTACTGGGCCTCTTGTGATGGCCATACCAGATGTAAAGCATGCAGGTGAATGCTCTGGAGTTGGGGCTGCTGGGCCCCAGTGGGCCCTACCGGGGCCTGTGGTCATCTTCTGGGGGGGCCCCACTTCTGGCAGAGGGACGACCCATTTGAGCGCTTTGTTCGCAGAGCTATACCTGTCCTGCATTTTTCTGCTTCCCCATTAAAACTCTGTGGGGCAGACTGCTCTCTTAACGTTATGTTGGCAGTTATCGGTGTGTGGTGCATGTTTAGTTCTGGTTCAAATTGAAAATGATCCAGCTTTTCTGGTTTTGACACTTCGTTCCCTTCTTCTCTTATAGCGAGCAAGGACTTGGCTCAGACGTCATACTTCATGGCCACCAACAGGTGTGTGTCAGCTGGGCGCGGGTGCTTGTGTGTTGACCTGTCGCGTGTGTCTGGCCACTGACGTGAGTCTCTATCTCTGGCCTGGCGGCTTCACGGTGGCTCACGGGCAGCCTGCACCTGACCACCTTCTGCCTGCAGTACAGCCCCCCTGTGGTGGCTTGCGTCTGCATCCACCTGGCCTGCAAGTGGTCCAACTGGGAGATCCCAGTGTCCACAGACAGCAAGCACTGGTGGGAGTACGTGGACCCCACAGTGACCCTTGAGCTGCTGGATGGTATGTGTGTGTGCCATCCTCTCTCAGCCTGGAATGAGGGGTCACGGTATAGACTGATGAGCGTCACCACACTAGTATATGTGCTGGCCCGCATCCCTGGTAACATGGTGATTGAAGCTAAAATTTACTTTTGTAAAAGCTGTGAATCTTTGAGCAAAAAAAGAAAAACGTCACATTTGGTGTTTCCGATTTGAAGTGCTGCTGGATTTCAGGAACTGCGCCACAGAAAGTGCACTTGCAATTAGGCTGTTTTGTTCCCTCGCACTGCTCTGCACACTGCACTGCTGTATTACCGTATATACATGCGTGACCTCAGTGTGAAACACCTCCCGCAGAGCTGACCCATGAGTTCCTGCAGATCCTGGAGAAGACCCCGAGCCGCCTGAAGCGTATCCGTAACTGGAAGGTGAGCGTGGGGGTTTGGGAGGTGGGGGGGGGTGTCTTTGCATGGAGCAGGAAGGGTTGACTAGGAGTGTGTCCCTTTCAGGCAGCGGGACAGACTGTGAAGAAGACGAAGGTGCAGGAGGACGGTGACCAGACGGAGGCCATGATGAGCATGATCTCCATGGTGTCCTCCGACACCACGATCGCCGGCCTCATGAGCCTCTCCGCCTCGTCCTGTTCCCTCAGCACCACCCCTCTGGATGACAAGGAGCGCAGCACTGGGTCCTCAGGGACTCAGCACTGGCAACCCAGCACCAAGGCGCACGGTGGCATGGACCCTGGGCCGGCGACACAGGGCCCACAGGGTACCCACGTTCCCGCCAAGGTGTCACTGAGCGAGTACCGCGCCAAGAACGCTGACGTGCTGGCGGCTCAGAAGCGCAAGCTGGAGAACATGGAGGCTAGCGTGAAGCGGGAGTATGCCTCTGCCGCCCAGGCCCTCATCAGCCAGCAGAGGAAGGAGAAGTACCAGGAGCCGCCCGGGGGCCATCCCGGAGCCACGGCCTCCGACGTGAGTAGCCCCTCGCCCATCATCCTCAAGATCCCCCTGGAGAAGGAGCGCCAAGACCGCAACTCCCTGAAGATGCGGCTTCCGCTGGCAGCCGGGGCGGGACACGGCGGCCACGGGGGACACGGGGGACACGGTGGCGGAGGGCACAGTGGAGGGGGGCACGCGGGGGGAGGTGGGGGAGGCAGCCGGACTGCGGACGATTTCAAAGTGCGGATCCGCGTGCCGGACAGACGCGGGGGTCTGGTGGAAGACGGCAAGAGCAGGGAGAAGCACAGAGAGAGGTCCAACCACCACCATCATCACCACCACCACCACTCGGCCAGCAGTGCCGGCGCCACCTCCTCCTCCTCCTCCTCCTCCTCGCATAAACACTCAAGCAGTGGGGGCGGCTCACTAGGGAGCAGCAAAAAATCGTCTGACTCCTCCAGCAGGACAAGCTTGTCCTCATCATCGTCTTCATCCCGGAAGCGGCCTCACTCCATGGAGCCGTCACCCGCCTCGCACCCACCCAAACCCAGCAAGTCCTCCAGGACTTCTTACCAGCTGCCCCCAGCGCCAGCCACTGCGGGCCATGCCCTGGGCTCGGGCCCCGACGGCCTGCCCCCCACAGCTGTGTCCCACCATCAAGGCTCCTACTCTCACTCCAAGGCGGACAAGGCGGACACCAACGGGCACAGCGCTGCTGGGGGTGGCGGCCAGTCCAACGAGTACCAGGACACGTTTGAGATGCTCAACTCCCTGCTTAGTGCCCAGGGCGTCCAGCCCACTCAGCCTCCCGTGTTTGACTACCGCTCGCAGTACGGCGAGTACCGCTACTCCGGAAGCCAGCGAGGCAATAGCGCCCGCCCTCCTCCCCTCCCCGCGGAGCCGCCCCCCCCACTGCCACCCCTCCCCAAGTGAGAACAGCTGTCAACTTCCAACACAAGGCTCTAGGCCTGCGTGGCTCTGCTCTGTGTTTGGGGGTCCTTGACTTGACAGCAGAGTAATGTATTCATTCAGAGTCCTCAGATTTCATACCTATTTTTCAATGTTTTTTTCCACATTTTTTAAAGCAGTCTTACCCCATGTACAGGGCAATAACAATGAATGCATAAAACGGTGAAAACCTAGAAGAGAATGCCAATCAGTCACTCGTTTGATCGTGTAAATACTATTTTTGATGTCATTCTGTTTGAGGTACATCAGATATTTGTATTGAAGTCTTTAACCCAATCATAAGGAGCCAGTGTGTTGCTTGGTTGAACTTGAAACAGAAAAAAAAAACGTGATTACATTGAATGCATGGGGAAATTTTGCATTTGTGAGCTAAAGGACTTATTTGTACAATTTTGCAAGCCTTGTTTTAATAGGCATCAGATGGATTCAATACGTCAAAAATATTTATTTTGTACTCCTCCCATCTGTATGTAGCATTGTTGTTATAGCCCCTTTATTCCTCTTCGGTTTCCACGACATCTAGTCAACCGTAGTCAACATTTTAAACGCGATCCTGGTGCTCAGTCTATTCCTAATAGTCATATATAAAAAAACAGAGGAATATTTAATTGATTTTACCGTTTTTATTTTGTAAATATTTAAGGAAAAAAAAAAGATACAATGTCAATGTTTTATATTATGTACATGTGAACTGAAAAAGTGAATATAAAATGTATTTTTACATTTTGTATAGAAAAAAGATCATTGTAAATTAACTTTTAGTTTTTAGATTTTCAATGTGATGCAGTCATTGTTTTAAATGGTTGTAAAAAGCTATAGTATGACAGATGATGATGTTATATAGCTACATTTTCTTCCCAAAATGCAGCCGTACCGTTATGGTGTTAAACAGTCTACATGGGCTGTGTCGTGCTGATTAGCCGCCGACACGCGGCGTGTCGGGCCCAGGAAGGGCACCCTGCGTAAAGGCTTCAGTGTGCCGAAGGGGCGTCTAAGCCACATGGCAACTGAGCAGGTCACCTGACCCTTATGTCATCCGCTCCCCGCGCCGTAGCTGCTCCGCCCAGCGCCCGGGCACACCCCGAGCCACCTGCCGCCGCGTAAAAAGCTCCACGCTTCTCCTTCACCACTTGAGAACGATCAGGAAATTGTGTGTATATCTCATATAACCATGATTGTGTCTATGGGTTGTTTTGGATTTAATCACAGGTTTGCATAAATGACCTATAAATATAAGTATTTGCTATATTTCTGCAGCTACTATGAGTGTATGGGCTAAGTGAATTGTACTGATTTAACACCAAAGGCTTTCGTCATAGTCTTCATTTTAAGCCCATTCTTTAAAAGCGGTAGCTTCTGAAATTGACACATTTACAGCCAGTTTAATATAGTAAAACTGCTTTTTATCTTTTGACTTAGTTCCTTATTTTCAGTGCAGTTCGTTTCTGTAAAATATGGGAGAAAACAAGCTGTTACTGGATTTTTGGGTATCTGTTTCTTGTGATAAAACTGAAAGATATGATCCAAAATGCATATTATAACCTGTCATTGTCCCCCACATTATCAGAATGTATGGTCACTTCACATAAACTGGAAAAAGCAGATAAAGTTGAATCCTCTATGTCGCAGTCATTGATTCTTGTGTCATGTGGATAAGGTGTGATGTCCATGCAATTTAAAGTCTGCAGTAGTAACCTTGAGGTGTAATTTGATTTAAATACTTGCCTGCACTAAGAATTGCTGTAATGGACTTGGCATTTCCCACAGTTTTAGCAGTTTTTAGCTGCTGTTTGTTTGGTTTGGTGATTTAAAGCAATTAAAGATTACTTGAATTAATTCCTCATGGAAAACAAACATTGATTCAAATCAGACATTGTTTCTTCATGAAAGACAGTATTGTGGCTGTGGTCATATCTGACAAATACGGCTCTGGAAAAAATTAAGAGACCACAGCGCACTTTTTTGTTTCATTCATTTCTAAATTTATGGGTATGCATATCTGCAAAATATACATGTTTTTTGCAAACTGCAGCCTGGTTCTTCCCTGTTTCTCATTAACGAATGGCTTCATCCTTGCTTTATGGGACTTCAGTCCTGCTTCTAGGAACCTGATCAGAACAGTCCTAAGTGCATTTCAAACCTGCACTTAATGTTTCCCGTTCCTTTTGAAGGTCACTTGATGTCATCCTCCAATTCATGAGAAACTGTTGGATAACTTGACGGTCATGTCTGCCATTAGAAAGTCGCTTCTGTCCTCTACCTGGCTGGTTTTTGGTCGTTCCCAGTGTATTCCGCCTCACAGTGAACTCTTCTGCCAGCAGAACCAGGATTAAACAAGGATTTAACAATGAGATTCTTAACATACGGAGTGGTCTCTTAATTTTTTCCAGAGCTGTATTTGTGACTGATAAATGCATGAAATGCTACTGATTTGTTACTGATGCAGCGTGGTTTTCACTTCTGTGATGCCTTCCATGTGTACACACACCTGCCCTCTGCTGTGACTCACGCTTGAAGAATACCACTGCGTTCACTGGATCCCACAGTAGTTTTGACTAATATTTCTCTCTGTAATTTTGTCTTACAGACTTTTTTTCTAAGGATATTCATTTTGAGAGGAATATTTCTGAACTATACATACATTTTTGTATGTTGTACCAGATGAACTCAGGTTTAGAATTTGGGGGAAATTTTGATGTGAACTTCAGGAAGTCCAAGGCCTACATTTATTAGTTTGTGTTTTGTGAGCAATTTTTAATGGTGAATGGTTTTACTCCCATAAATAAATGTTTTAAAGTAAAATCCAAGCACTATTTTTATTCATGTAGATATTAGTGACTGGTACAAAGTAGCAGTAATATTCTAGAAGAGGTAAGCCATTTTATTCTATATGATCTTAGTTTCAGTTGAAATTGAGGGCAGCGTCAAAAAAATGGTGTGGAATCTTGTGTATGAGGAAGATTCCAGCTGATGACAACCAACAAAAACACAGAACTCATTAGTTTATGAAACTGGCAAAGAATATTTGTAGTTTGGAAAATTAATGTGTATTGCGCATGTACACAAACTAAACCTTTGAAGTGTATTTACATTGTTTATTAAGTCAACTTAATTCTGAATGAGAAAATACCTAAATAAATCCGTGTTGGCATCTCAATAATTTTAACAACATTGACTATCATTTGGTGTTGTTTTTGACATGGCACACAAGGTGAGGGTCTCTAGACTACAGACAATACTAATGAAATGTATGAAGGGTGGCCAGTCCTATCCAGAAAGGGCTGTTGTGTATGTAGGTTTTTTGCTGCAACTCCCTAATTAGATTACTAATTGGGGGACTGATTATCTAAAGAGTCCTCACTCCTGGGTTTGAACAGCTGACCTAATGGTTATCCCAAAAGCCTGTATACACAGCGGCCATTTGCAGATAAGATTGGCCATCCCTGCAATGTATTATTTTACAGTAGTTATATGGTATTGCTCTCAAGTAAATGGGTTATGGTAAAACCCCAAAGTCTCCCTGCACTAGCTTAGTATCAGGTCATCAGGTATCTCTAAGTGTGCCATCTGTCTTCTAACCAATTATGCTGGTAATGTCACATTTTGGGGGGATTGGAGCCTGTCCCATGTAGTACAGTAGAAGACTGGGGTAAATCCTGGGGGGTGGGTTCACTGCCCATCTGGATATAGAATAATAAATACATACATACATCTGTTTTAAGCCCTATCTGATGTGATGTGATGCAGACGGATGTTACTATATACCCTTCAGTGCTGTGTCATATATTCTCCCTCAATTTCTTGAAACTACTCGGCGACAAATATATATATAGACGAAGACCACTTCTATTGCATACCAAGGAAATTCTGCATTAGAAGTCACATTTAGGCAGTATTTTTTGTTAGCAGTAACGACGTGGGAAAATTGTATTTAAATCATTAGACACATGCAGGAACACAGTATGCATAATTGGTAGCGTGGCGAAATTTTCTTTAATAAAGCCTTTGATTCTATTTATTTGGCATGAACGTTCACAAACTAAGGCTGGGCTGTTCGTTTGACAGACAGCCACATTAACATATGATTCACTGGCAAGCTGTTGCTCCGCACCTATAGCGGTGCGATGTGGGCGGGACTTACGGCGATCTGTGTCTCGAGGAAGCAGATCAGAAAAACTGTTCAGTAGTTACGGGGGAAAGCGGGCGGAGGTAGGCTTTCTTTCGGTCTGCCGTTACTAGTGTATCACAAACATTTACCATAAGCTTATCGAGTATTCAGAAAATAAATAATATAACGGACGTTTAATAGCTGATTGTTGGTCTGAGCAGTGATGACTGGCGTCTTTGTACAGGTTTGCGCTAACGAGCAAGCTAAAAGATGGCGGCGACTCCAAATATGGCGCGCGGAGGCGTCCCTGTCGGAAGGCTGTGCAGCCACGGCCGTATGATGCTCATCTAATAAAAATCGCGTCCTGACATAGTCTTAATTAAAACCACGATATTTCAGAACTTAGTCTCCTGCGTTTAACATTGCTGGTATAGAATCGGTGCCTTTACGAGTTGTCTGTGTAATGGTAAACGACGGGCGCTTTACCGATAAGTGATCGCCATCTGAACGTTAACAGGAAAATGCTCAGTCCGACAATAAATACAGACGCGACGCTGTATTTGTCGTATTTATATGGTCTCTAACTACTGCAAATTGAAATCGCCGAACGATGCATCTGGTCTCTCGCTGTGAATTTCCAGTGCGCTTTCAAAATGGCAGCTACTGGGCGCGTTAGGGCCACGCGCATGCGTGTCGCCACGGGACCCCTTGTGAACTGCGTTGCCTGGATACTGTATTACCGTATAACCGCTGTAAATAGCCAGCTTTCAGCTTTTACACTTTTTGTGGAAGTACTGAACCTAGATATCTACAATAAATACAATGTTAAGTGTCTTTAGCCATCTTATGTTAGTATTAGTTACTCATTTTGTTACTACATTGATTTTATTATAAACAGTTTCTTTTAAAGAGTCACGTGTGTTTGCGTGGATGTATAACTTTAATTTCCTGTGCTAACCTGGGTGTTACTTTAGGATTTAGGATGAACCGAATCCGGATCCACGTGTTGCCGTCCAGCAGGGGCCGGGTCACTCCTGCTTCCCGCACCCAGGAACAGCAGACCTGCTCGTTCACTCAGCGGCCCTGCTCACAGCCCCGGATCGAGGGACTGGAGTTCTGCATTAAGCATGTCCTGGAGGACAAGAATGCCCCCTACAGGCAGTGCAGCTATGTCTCCAACAAGAATGGCAAGCGATGCCCCAATGCGGCTCCAAAGCCAGAGAAAAAAGATGGGTGAGTTTTGCGGATGATGATTTAACATCCAGCTGGGGGTGCTGTGGGTTACATTCTACTTCTCTGCTGATTTCCTGATTAAGCTGGGCCTGGTGGCCTGTCTCCTATGGCCGTACCAGCTGTTGTTTTTGCCTCATTCTGCTGCAAAGCCTTTGGCGATGGTGAGTGGAGTGAGACTGGCTGCCACTTTGTTCCAGAGTTACGTTCTGCGCCGAACACGCACACAGGAACGCTTTGGCCCTGCAGGCTCAGATGAGGAAGGCGTGCTCTGGCCCTTCTCCCGAGCTCCTGCTGTCCCAGCTGAGTGGCTACAGCCGGCCCGAGTCGGGGGCCCAGAGCCAGGACGGCGGTCGCAGCGAGGCCAGCCGCGTGCTAGGTGAGCTTCAAGAGTGGGATTAGGAAAGGCAGCTAGGCTCCGAGACCACACACTCAGTTCTGTGATCTCTGAGGTTTACTTGGTGATATGTTCCTCCAGATGAGGATAGCTGGAGCGAGGAGGATCAGGATCCGGTGGTCCTGGACCAGACGTGGAGGGGAGACCCTGACAGCGAGGCCGACAGCATCGATAGTGATCACGAGGACCCTCTGAAGTAAGAAAAGCAGCTGGTGGACTTGTGGAAACTTAGTGTTCCCCTGTGATACTGAGTTTCCCTTTTGGATATTCAGCTTTGCCAGGAATGCTGGGAGGTCATGGAATCTTTCAGGTCTGTGAGCCGACGGCTCGCCACGGGTTTCGGGTCTGTGCACTGAGAGCTCGCCCGTAGGACCTGACATGTGCTCCAGACCTGCTGAAATCAGAGGAACTCCTGTCTTGAGACAGTAGATTTCAGCCTGAGTTGTGTGCGCTTCTCACAGAGTAGACCGTAAGGGCATCCCTGTGCTTGTGTGTGCCATAGGCATGCAGGTGTTTACACGGCAGAGGAGGTCGCCCTGATCACACGTGAGAAGCTCATCCGCCTGCAGTCGCTCTACATCGAGCAGTTTAAACGCCTGCAGTACCTGCTGAAGGAGAAGAGGAGGCGCTATCTCCACAGCCGCAAGGTGGAGCACGAGACCATAGGTAAGCCACCGTCACGGTCGGCCCACCTCACCACACCATGTCAACCCATGACCCCGCGACGGTGACGAGTGGGGACCTGTGCTGACAGGGAGCAGCCTGCTGACGGGGCCCGAGGGCCTCTCCATAAAGGAGCGCGACAACCTGAAGAAGCTCAAGGCCCTGCGCAGGTATCGCAGGCGCTACGGGGTCGAGGCCCTGCTGCACCGGCAGCTCCGCGAGCGCAGGCTGGTGGCCACTGAGGGAGTCTCCATGCAGGTCAGTGCCTCAGAGTCAACTGTCTGTGTGTGACAGGGTTAGGGGACAGCAGGGGCTGCACTGACCTTTATGGTCAGCAGGGGGCAGCAGCCCCGTATGCTCATTAGTGTCGTGTAAAGGGTGGTATTTTATACTGGCTGGTATCACCATTTCTCATGTGTGTTACGTTTTCTAGTACAGTGGAAACCACTTATAGTGATCAGCCGCTTATATGGATCAAAAAAGCTTGGGACAGAATCATTCCTGCACAAATACAGACACTCCTCCTTACAAACTTCCGACTTACGAAATTTCAGGCATACGAACGAAGAGGACTGCAAGTCCAAATTATGTTCATTGGGCTCCCATTTCCTGTCCGCAACATGAATTTTTTTTTTCTGCGCGCCAATTCCGCCTAGTTCGACTTCTGCCCACTACTCCCGCCGCGCAGCAACGTAGCGTGCGTACTCCCAGCATCCTAGTTCTTTGTACTTGCGCAAACCCTTAAAATGATGTTGAATAACGACTTACAAACATTTCAAGTTATGAAAGGCCGTTCAGAACGTAACTCATTCGTAAATAGAGGAGCATCTGTACTGTTTAAATAATTTGCTTATAGTAATCAAATAGTCCACTTACAGTGTTCATTTTGGGGTATTTTATACACGACAACATATGGAAAAAATAAACTAAGGTAATTTTTTTTATTATTATTTTTTTTAATTTTACTTTGATCACCCTACTTTGCCTTGCGGTTACCCGTCTGCTTCTGTCTAGCTACCTGAAGCTAATACTGCATGAACAGATAACATGACGGGAAAAAGACTCATTTTCTCCCAAAGAAAAATAGACTCATCAAAGCTTATGGTGAACTGTGAAAAATGAGCCAATGAGATGCAGCAGCAAAACTACAATAAGCTATATTTTATGTACAGTACTGTAATTTCAAAAGTTTTAAACAGCTGTACCGTATTTTGAGTAAAAAAAAATCAGTAAATAGTCAGTTTTATTACCATATATTAGTGTAATAAATATACAAATCTCAATTAGATGGTAATCTGCCTGAGATGTAAAGAAGAAAAATCGGTGATAATGATCATCTGCTTATAGTGATTAATTTCACCTAGACAGCCGTGATCGCTATAAGCGGTTTCCACTGTATGATTAGATAAAACCCATGACAGTCAGAGCGTCTTTGCAGGGTGGGATGGAGCTCAGTGGGTAGCATTGTTCCTCACACTTCCAGGGTTGGGGTTCGAATCGAGCCCCTGTTCTGGGTATGTAGACTTTCACTGGGCATGAATGAACAGTACTTATTATCTGTGAACAATACAGATTACCTTTGGAAAATGCTGGTTACCCAAAGACAGTACTAGTTATCCATGGATAATGCAGATTAACCATGAAAAGTATTGGTTATCCATGGACAGTACATATTATCCATGAATATTAGAGATTAACCATGGACTACTGGTTAACCATGGACAATACCATTTATTCATGGGTATTAAGAACATAAGAAATTTACAAATGAGAGGAGGCCATTCGGCCCATCAAGCTCGTTTGGGGAGAACTTAACTAATAGCTCAGAGTTGTTAAAATCTTATCTAGCTCTGATTTAAAGAAACCCAGGGTTTTAGCTTCCGCTACACTAGCAGGAAGACTATTCCATACTCTACACACTGTATAAAGAAGTACTTCCTCAAATTAATTTTAATATGTTCTCCCACTAATTTCCACTTATGGCCACGAGTTCTAGTATTTAAACTAATATTGAAATAGCCATTTGGCTGAACAGCATCCAGACCTGTTAGAATCTTATAGACCTGGATCATGTCCCCCCTTAGTCTCCTTTGCTCAAGGCTAAACAGATTCAGCTCAGCTAACCTCTCCTCATAAGACATTCCTCTAAGACCAGGAATCATTCTCGTAGCCCTCCGTTGCACCTTTTCTAAGGCAGCAATGAACATCTTAAGGTATGGTGACCAAACCTGCACACAATATTCTAGGTGGGGTCTTACCAAAGAATTATATAAATGTAACATGACCTCCCTTGACTTAAACTCCACACACCTAGAGATATAACCCAACATTCTATTGGCCTTTTTTATTGCTTCCCCACACTGGCGAGAGTGGGACATGGATGCATCAACATACACACGAGATCTTTCTCGTAATCAGCTACCTTTTATTTCAGTGGAACCCATAAAATATCTGTACTTCATATTTCTGCTCCCTGCATGGATTACCTTACATTTATCTGTGTTAAATTTCATCTGCCAAGTATCAGCCCAGTCGCTAATTAAATCCAGATCCCTCTCTGCTGCTAGATCAGTATCTGCTACACCACCCACCTTGGTGTCGTCTGCAAATCAAGGTGGGTGGTGTAGCAGATTCTAACGGGTTATTACAGATTAACCATGGACAGTACCATTTATTTATGGGTATTACAGGTTGAACATGGACAGTACCAGTTATCCATGAATATTATAGATTAATCATGGGCAGTACTCGTAAACCATAAACCCTGCAGATTAACCATGGACATTATCATTTTAAGACCGCGAGCCACCTCACTAACCATGTCGGTTGTGTCTGGCCCAGGTTCATGCTGCTCGCTCCAGTCAGCGCTGCATTTCCTTCGTGGATGGCGCGCGCTGCCCAAACCAGTGCCTGCCCATGACTCGCCACTGCGTCTCCCGTATCCTTCATGCTATCACGTGACCACCTTGCCGTAGCCTGTCGGCTGCCCCCTCCTCTCCAGAGGGGCCCTTGGTATTTAGGTGGCTGCTTCCCCAGCATGGCGCCGACAGGTTAAACGCTCTCCAGTTGCCCTCCTTGACCGTGTGCCGAGCAGACATCTACCAGGACAGCCACCAGGTGCTCTTCAAGATGTGTCCGGGACTTAAAGACGTGCCGTGCACCCGGCCCGTGCACATGGGCCAGTCCGAGGAGCCACGCTGCCCCCTGCACCTCTCCCTGCCGCCCCCCCTGTACCAGCCTGAGCCGGAGCCCCTGGTGCCCGAGCAGCTGGCCCCCGCCCCCTTGGACATGTACCTGAGCGTTGCTGAACTGCAGCCCACCGAGAACCTGCCCCTGGAGTTCAGTGATGTAGGTGCAGCGCCCCTAGTGTCATGTGTCAGGATAGCGAGTCAGTCTGATCTAGGGCTGCAAAAAGACCATTGTTCTGATAATTGGTTAATCATTTGATAAGGTGATCAACTAATCGATTAGTTGGTCTAAAACAGGGTTTAACGAAACGTGCACATGCTTTATGTAAATAAACATCGAGGTATTTTTAAGTCGCAGTTGTAATAACTTTAGAGAATCATTAAAGTGACAAATTGGCATTTTTATCTTAAAAGCAACTGTACTTTATACTGTGGTATTCAGTGTCGCAGACATATTTTTCAAAGGAATCGCTATTCTAGTGTTATGAACTTTGGTGATGAAATTCGCTGATGGGGGGGTCCAGCTAATTTTGTTGCTGAGATTTTAGAAATACCGTATTACCGAAATACGGCCGAGGCCTGGTAACAACTTTGAACTGTTCATGAAAGCTTACCCATGTCATTACCCTGCTCGTGTCTGTGTTTGTTGCAATATGTCTGCTCTCTCCTGGTATGCATGCACTGACCATGACTGTCTGTCCACGGACCAATGTAGTACACACAGCCGTAGCGGCATGCGGAAAAGTGCAATATGAAATCATCTTAACGTTGACGCTGCTATGTGGTGATGTAAACTGTGTATAATTGCACAGCAAACCACAGAAATCCAACCGATGGATGACAAAATTCGTTGTTGACTGCTTTTCTTACCGATTTATTATCGATTAGCTATTGTGGCCCTAATCCGATTGGGGAAAAAAAAAATGTAGGACTCACTGGGGTATGGGTTCGAATGGGTCTTCCAGAAGCATCCACAAGTCAAACGGCACAGTGTGCCTTCAGCAGGGCCTGATCTCAGTAGGGTGACTTCCGTAAGCTTCCTATCACACGTGTCTGTGGGCAACAGGACCTGGACGTGGTCGGGGACAGTATGCAATGCCCCCCGTCTCCCCTGCTGTTTGACACCGCCCTCGCTCTGGAGGACCAGACCATCCGCGAGATCGCCGAGGCGCCCATGGACATTCTGACGGGTGAGGAGCAGCCTGAGCTGGAGCTCTCAGAGAGAGACGGGGAGAGCCCTACGGCGCAGGTGAGAGCATGGGGGGGCACCAGGGTGGGTGCAGGAAAGCGTGCATAGATGGATGGATATAATTTGACTGAGGAAATTTATGGTATTTATATGCAAAATGCACAGACACAGTGTGAAGACAGTACAATCAATACAGAAATTAATATACAGGCAGTTCCCAGGTTAAGAAGATCAAACTAACAGGTGCCTTATACTTACGAATGCACTGCCATAAAGCCTACTATATTAAAATACTCTGATGCTCGTGAAAATGTTGCACGGCTTCAGCAGTCCGTTGTCTTGAGGTACAGTACAATACCCTATGTAGTTACTGTTGTTACTATGATTATGAAGTGTTATTTTTGTTCCGACTTGCCTACAAATTCGACACAAAGATAGACTTAAGGAACAGATCTCTTTGGTAACCTGGGAACTGCCTGTACATTAATGAGGGATGTTAATGTGCCACACAGATCACTGCAATGTACAGGGGCTCCTTCTTAAATGCCGCCCGGTGTGTTTTTAAAAACAGGCAATGACATCATGTGTAACGGCATATGGCTGTACGCCTTCACATGCACACCTTCATTTGCGGTTATTTATATATTCAAAGTCAGTACAAGGTGGTGGGATTGCTCTGCAGAACTACTGTACTGGTGTCGTACTGGTTATCCAGGGCGCAGTCATGAGAAGGTGGCCCTTTCCCCCGCAGGATGTTTGCGAGCTCCCTGAAGAGGGCATCGTGCTGGGGGTCCCGTCGGATGAGGTCAAAGGGCCGGCGGACGCCACCTGACCGGATGCTGCCACCGCCCACGCCACCACCGCCACCTCGAGCTGCGCCAGAGATCGGCGTTAGTGTTCGGGAACACACGAGCCTGTTTGCTGGATGAAAGCCAATCCCCTCTGAACTCTGGCTTCCATTAAGCTTAACGAACTTGCAGGATTACTCATCATTTTAATCTGTCCATCTCGCAGCAACACCGAATGTGTTTTGCTGTTCAGTCGCATTTCCTGCAGACATTTCTGAAATTCACTTGGCCACTTGTCAAATAAATTGGCTTTCGGAATTAGACACAGACCCGCTTGAAGCCTTCAGAGCTCCTCCCAGCTCCCGTCCCGAGTCGAAGCCCGTAAGCCGTCTCTCACACTGACGACAATAAACTCTTGGTTACTACCTGCCTTTTGGTTCCGCCTTTCTTGAAGCAGCTGCAATGGGACCGGACCGGGTTTGCTGTTGTGTGGTTTGAGTGCTGGTACACGATGCCTTTGAGGGACATGTGCCCGCTGAGTGCTTCTGATTGCTCAGTAGGTGCATGCTGGTACCATAGGGCTTAGCGCACCTGAAAGAGGAGGCAGCCCTCCCTGGCCATCGACCATGGTGTTATGGTTCTAGTCCGAAGCTCTGAGGTAATGCCGGCTGAGGTAGATATGGTCGCATGCCCTCAGGCGCTGTGTACTCGGGTGACACAGTGAGCAGGACAGCTGCGTCCCCCTTCTGAACTTTATAATAATGAAGATGATGGGGGAAACAGGTTTGCCAAGAATTCTCATACGAGAGGCCGCTTCTATCCATCCATCCATCATGCCGTTGCTCACCCAGTACAGGATCTGAGGTGGGGACACTGGGCACGATGCCAGTCCATCACAGGGCACAGTCACACATTTAGTACCAATTCACTTAACCTGCGTGTTTTTGCACTGAAGATGAAATCCATTCAAACGGGCAGAACATACGAAATTCAGACAATTTGGGGGATTTGAACCCATACCCTGGTGGTGTAAGGTTACAGTGCTGCTATTTTCATTACTTATACATGACTTTGATAATGATGTGCTTAACACAGCCAACTGATAACATAATCCACGTAATCCAGTTTCAGCGTGTATATCCCTGTGATTAAGCGGAGTCCGGGCAGCCTACAGCAGCAACTGGCCTGTCACAGACCTCATCTTAAGCTATCAGGTCGCTTCATGTATCTGCAGAAAGGCTCAGGAACGTGTACGTGTGAGCTTCACACAAAGGAGGTGCCCGATGCGGAACCGGGCAGCGGTAACGTTACTTTCAAAGGCGGGTTTATAGCAACGTGTGAAGAACTGAAGCTGCAAATACTGTAACATCTACTGTATGCCGGGGTGGCGAGCCCTGGCGGTGCAGCGTTTACTCTACACGGCGTGATCAGTACTGACATTAGTACTATATTTAGTAATAGTCACGTTTGCGAAGGTATCGCACGCCCGGTGTTATAAAGCCATCGCTTGCAAGGCGGACCGGCCCCATGCTGCCCCGTGGAGGGAAGAGACAGGGCGGCGGATGCGGCTCCCAGCCATGACATCACCGTCCCTGACGAGGGGCTGAGATACGGGGGAAATGAGCGCAGTGCCCGGGGAGCAGGAAGCACGGCTCGTCGGCGCTAATCAAAGCCCCTTAACGCGCGTCCCGGCATCGGGGTTGAGCCTCTTTTTGTCTCATTTTTCTGCGGTCCCCGGCGACTAATGAGGTAAGACGCTGAAAAGCATTTACAAAGCTCGTCGGTTCTGGTTCGGGTCGCCAGCCGCCCGTGCGTGATCTAAGGTGCATTTATAAATGCAGGTCGCCTCTGGTTCGGGTCGTCAGTTGCATGTCCGTGATCAAAGGTATCTTTTAAAATGCGGGTCGCCTGTGGTTCGGATCGTCAGTTGCATGTCCGTGATCTAAGATGCCCCTTTAAATGCAGATTGTTATTTTATGATAATTTTTACACGTTCACATTAAGCGGAGGCAAAGCAGGAGCCTCCGGTTCTTTTGTCGGGACCCGGCATGTCTGTGGGAGGCCGGACCGTGTCGGTGTCACCGGCACAGGCATGCATGCATGCGGGGCTGGCAGCGCCTTCAGCCCGGGGGGGGGGGGGGGGGGGGCCCCCCCCTCCGGGGGGGGGGGGGGGGGGATGCAGCGCTCCAGCCGTGACTGTCCGCCACTGACCGCTGACTTTTCTGGCTTTTATTCAGCGTTGGATGGGGGTCGTGCTGGGAAAACGCACCGCCCTGGCTGCAGCGCCTCTTATTTTCGATATGCGATGTCTGCGAGGCTGCAGGCTTCTTATTTTCATATTTGCCTGAATTAGGGTCTTTTTTTAATGAACCAGTTACAGAATTAAATCGTATTTCTAAATACTGAATTTTATTAGAAGTACTCAGATAGGATGTTTTCACGGTACTGATAAAATACGCTAGGTAAGTTATAAAGGATGGTTCATCCTCCCTGTACCATTGGAGTGATGTTTGTGTGGCTCCTGGATGGGATATTATGTCCCCGTTGTGAGTTTATACCTGCAATTTCGGCGCTGTTAGAAAGTAGGGCTCGGAATTTGACTATCTGGGGGAAGTGTGTTATAGTACTAAAATGTTAACGTTAAGGGTGGCTTATTAATTATTGCTCAATATAAATTATTAACCTAGCGAAGATGTGTTACATGAAGAAATTAAAATGCTTATAAACCTAAAATGGCAGGCCTCGTTCGTTGGAATGCTTAGGCAAATAATTTTGCATCTTTGAATCTGTTCATTTATATTTCTTATAAGTGAAACCGGTGTGAAATTAAAAGCAGTTTGCATGCAGCTTACGGGCAATCTGATTAAAATCCGGGGGTGTTAGGCGTGACCAGGGCTATCCTCATCACTATCTGGTCACACAGATCACACGTGTGACACTGCGGTATTTCCCGTGATGCTGTGTGTGGGGGGGGGGGGGGGTCGACCCTCAGGGACACTGGGCCTTCCCGTGCCGCCCGGCCGGATCCTGCTTCTGCTCCCCTCCTTCCCTTTCGGCGGAGTCGTTATTCTTCACCAGGGGCGGTCAGCAGCAGCCCGAGGCGAGTTCCTCTCAGGAAATGCCCCAAGCCTATATGTGGCCTAAATGCTGATGCCATGAATAGTCGTGTAAGTGTGTACGGACACACATGGCGTGCTGTGAGTCACCCCAACAGACCATCCCTGACACGTTTTTGCCATACATTTGGTTGACAGCTCAACATGTCTTTTCAGGAACAACAGATTCGTGAGCAAACTGTTGTACGGTTGACATGAGGAGGATACATCACCCCTGCAGGTTACCCTCTGGGTGAGGTTTAATCAGCCCTACAGTCTGGGCACCTTTTCATTCAGACGTCCGAGCTGCTGATTCCTCCTTTGTGACAGAGCACAGGGCACGCCAGTCTTCCTGCTCGCTGGGAGCGTTTATCAGGAACAACGGTTTGCGAGGGCTACAGGGATGCGGTTTTAACCTCGAACCCGGAACCGGTCCCCAGCTTTGAAACGGTGGGTAATTACAGGGTGACTGAGCTAAGAGCAGCACCCCCCCCCCCCAGCTGTGCCAGATATGTCCCTGCATTTTCCCACATGCTCTGGGCCACGTTGCCTCACATAAACGCTCGTCCCTGTGCCCCTCTGCCCCAGACATACTGCTTGTAGTGGGCTGCTGGGTTACCTCGCCGCGTTTGCCAGCTTCTGCCTGCCCCACGTAACTCGGTGATTACAGCACAGCCGTGTCTCCCCCAGCCGCTGCTCCGCCTCTCCCTTCCCTCTGACACCACGTCTGGTTTTGAGATCTGCCAACGTCACGCGGGGCACATGGCCAGCAGATGGAGGATGTTAAACGGGGTAGGATGTGACCCCCCACACCCCCCAGTGTGAGGTAGCATTGCCTCTCCCACGCAGATGCGGCCGTGGTCCCCCTTGCCCCCCCCCTCCACGTCAACCTTCCTGTTCCGGCGCCTCTGTTTAGGCTGCATGCAGAACTTCAAGGCAGCACATTCTCAGACAGGAGCCCTTTGATCTCAGACTTGCTGTCAGTAGGGAGGATGTCAAACAGGGTTGGGGTTTTCCTCTTCATTTTCACAGGCATTTATTCCAGCAGGGGGGTCTGAACACCTCCCCCCCCCCCAACCTGATTTCACCACCCTTTATGTCTGACGGCAGACATTTTTTATTATTTTTTCACCGCACAGCTTTCAGATGTCCGGCTGTGAGTGAGAGTCCCGTCGTTCAGTGCAGTTTGTTTCATACTGAGCTTCGCTGTTCCCACGTTGCATGTCCACGTTCTCTACCTCCCTAAGGCTGCCCTCTTCCTCTAGATTCAGGTCCCGCCGCTGTGCATGTCCGTTTGGCTCCCGCTCGTGCCCAAGTATGCAGCGTAACGCGTGACTGACGAGTGCGAGACGTGGACCTCGGCTTCCGGGGTCTTGGAGCAGGACCAGACTGGCTGAGAGCCACTCCTGAAGGTTTGCTGATAGTCTTATTCAGAAGAGAGACTTACCTTCATTTAGTAAGATATGAAAGGAGGATGAATGTCCTTGTATCAGGGTGTTCCTGGGGTATTTGGACAAAAAAACTGCTTGGTCTTCAGCATACACCATCAGACAGTACGAGACCCCATTTACAGTTTTGTGATCTCGACTCTACGCTCGTTGAGCCTGGTGGACAGGGTGCAGTTTGAACGGTGTGGAACCTTTGTGGGAACCTTTATTTAAAGAGAGACAGTTACTGACACGAGTTTCCAATACAGAAATCAAATGAAGTACGGGATTGAGGATCTCCCAGGAAAGCTTTTCGACCAAAAGCCAAGCAGACGATGGAGTTTCCGCTTGATTACTCTAGGGCAACGTTTCCTAATCTGGTCCTTGGGGACCCGCAGACAGTCCACATTTTTGCTCCCTCCTAACTCCCTGCCAGGCCCAGGGAGCGGCAATGCTGCTCTTGGGGGCCAGAGGGTCGCAACGGAGCATTGGACTTCTGGGGGTTTCAGCACGGGCTGAGCTCCTGAAATGCTGATCATTTTGAGGGCTGCTGCAGGACGCTGCCTCACTGCTTGTTCTGCTGCTGCCTTGATGTGGGGATGGTTCCCAACTCTGCATGTGGTCGGGCTGAGGAGAGTCTGAGGCTGTGGAAGACTGTGAAGAGCACGTGAGCTTTGCCATTCCTCCTCCGTACCTCTGTCTGTGCTGGGAATTTAAAAGGATCACTCACATCTGTCTGGTCTTTGCTCTTTAAGTAGATCAGCTGTAAATCTCAGACCAACAGACCCTTAAACCCAGCAAGCTTCATATGTGAATGAAAGACACATGCTCTGCACACCATGTCTGTCGGTCTGTCTCTCTCTGTCTGAATCTCTGTGCGTCTCTCTCTCTGTGACTCTGTGTCTCTCTGTCTATGTCTCTTTCTCTGTCGGTGTCTCTGTTTCTCTCTCTATGACTGTGTCTCTGTCTATGTCTCTCTCTGACTGTGTCTCTCACTTTCGGTCTGTGTCTGTATCAGTCTCTGTCTTGGTCTATGTCTCTCTCTGTCTGTCTGTGCCTTTATGGATGAGTTGACTTTAATGTTAAGGTTGTTAGTGTCGCTATTTGGAAAATATGAATAAGGGCTGTTTCAGCAGGGGGTAGCGTGAGTCCTCAGCTGAATTCTTTTGGGTCATGATTGACACACACACACACTCACACACACTGTCATTCACACATCCACACTGAAGCAGCCATCAGCAGCAGTCTGCGCTTCCACTCCTATCTTGTGCCCCCCCCCCCCCCCCCACGTCTCTGGGAGGCGGTTACCATGGTTATGTGCTGAGGACCAGCTTTTGGAGCACATTAGGATGTAGAAATATTCACCAACGGCTCCCCCTAGCAGCAGCAGGGTGATAGCAACACAGTGACCCTCTTCCTCCTCTGTGTCATTCTGCAGATTTATTCTGCTTTCCAGTCAGTCACATCAGCTCTGGGTTGGGCTTGTTCATTTATCAACATATTTATGTGAAGTTAAGTCTTCTGTTGCACAGTAAGCTGGTAAACTACACCGTGCCTTAAGCGAACCCTGTAACGCACAGTGCGTCGTCCCATTAAGCGCGCAGCTGGTGGTGCACTCCCCCCTATGGAAATGCCCCTGAATCGGACCTCCTCAGACTCCCACAAGCAGCTCTGTTTGACAAGAGCTTGGAGATTATATGTTAAGCTGTGTAAAAATTTGTTACAGTTAACAAAGGGTTAAAATCCGTAAATGACTAAAACAGACACCCAGGGGCGGGGGGGGGGGGCATGTAAATTTGTTGGGTCAGTGA